GAGGCAATTAGCCATGCATTCCATTTCCTCCTCCTATTTCTAACTCTCCTTCTTCCTCTGTTGTTCCAGGTGAGTTGAGACCAATTGTTGTACCTCGGATAGCTGCTTGCAAGCTTTTCTTTCTTTCTTTCTTTTTAATTGTACTTCAGGTGAAAATTTACAGAGCAAATTAGTTTCTCAATAAACAGTTAATATGCAAATTGTTTCGTGACATTGGTAGCTAAACACTCTCCCCTTCTCCACCCCAGGTTCCCTGTTTCCATTTGTTCAGTTTTCCTGTCTGTTATTGCCCTCTTGTCCTTGCTTTTGGGCTGGTGTGACCATTTACTCTTGTATACATGATTAAATTATGAAGCACAGTTCTCACATGTGTTATTGTTTGCCCGATAGACCTGTCTAATTTTTCGCTGAAGGGTGATCCTTAGGAGTGACTTCTGTACTGAGTTGAAAGGGTGTCTGGAGGCCATAGTCTTGGGGTTTCTCCAGTCTCTATCACACCAGCAAGCCTGGCCCTTTTTTGTGAATTTAAATTTTGTTCTATGTTTTGTCCTGTTCTGGCCAATACCCTCTGCTGTGATACCTGTCAGAGCAGTCGGTGGTGGTAGCCGGGCACCTTCTAGTTGTTCTGGGCTCAGTCTGGTGGAGATTGCGGTAGTTGTGGTCATTAGTCCTTTGGACTAATCTTTCCCTTGTGGCTTTGGTTTTCTTCATTCTCCCTTGATTCAGCTAGGATGGGACCAGTAGATGTATCTTAGATGGCCGTTTGAAGGCTTTTAAGACCCCGGAGGCTACTCACCACAAGCAGATGTAGAACATTTTCTTTATAAACTATGTTATGCCAATCGAGTTAGATGTCCTCTGAGACCATGGTTCCCAGCCCTCAGCCTAGTAACTTGGTCCCTAAGGGAGTTTGGATGTGTCTGTGAAGCTTCTATGATGCTTGCAAGCTTTTAAGACCCCAGGCACTATGCAATGAGCTAGGAAGAGGAACAGAAGCAGTAAAAAAGATATTAGGCCAATTAACTGGGATGTCCCATGAAACCATGACCCTAAACCTCCAAATCAAGAAACCAGACCCCATGAGGTGTTTGGTTGTACAAAAGCAGCCTCAGCAGCTGCTCTCTCTCTTTTTAATAAAAATATGTATCATACATTTGCCAATTCAACTTTTTACAGGTATACAACTTATTAACATCAATTACATTAATCAGCTGTGCAACCATTACCCTTAATGTGAATTTTTCATCACCATAAATAGAAGCTCAGTGCTCCTTAAAAAATAACTCCGCCTCTCCCCCTCCTCCTGCTCTGGTAACCACCAGTAAACTTTGGTCTCTATGTATTTGCCTGTTCTTGTCTTTTTATATAAATGAGGCCATACAATAATTGTTCTTTTATGACTGATTTTTTTCACTCCACATAATGTCTTCAAGTTCCATCCATGTGGTAACGTGTATCAGGACTTCATTTCTCTTTCTGGATGAGTAGTATTCCATTGTATATATGTACCATATTTTGTTTACCCATTCATTCATTGATGGACGTTTAGGTTGTTTCCACCTTTTGCTAGTGCTGTAATGAACATTGGTGTATATATGTCTGTTCGCATAACTGCTTTCAAGGCCCTTGGGTTTATGCCTATCAGTGGGATTGCTGGGTCACATAAAAAAAGCCATTGCTGTTGAATCAATTCCGACTCATAGTGACCCTATAGGATGGAGTAGAACTGCCCCAGAGGGTTTCCAAAGAGCAGCTGGTGGATTTGAACTGTTGACTTTTTGGTTAGCAGCCATAGCCCTTAAGCACTGCACCACCAGGGCTCCAGTGGTAGCTCCATTTTTGGTTTTTTGAGGAACCACCACTCTGTTTTTCACAATGGCTGTACCATTTTGCATTACCATCAGCAATGGATAAAGGTTTCAATTTCCCCGCATCCTCGCCAACATTTGTTATTTTCTGTTTTTTATTTTATTTTTTTTAATCTTAGCCATCCTAGTGGGAGTGAAAATGTATCTCATTTTGGTTTTGGTTTGCATCTGTCTGTGGCTAACAATGTTAAGCATCTTTCCATGTGTTTGTTGGCCATTTGACTATCCTCTTTGGTGAAGTGTCTGTTCATTTCCTTTGCCCATGTTTTGGTTGCCTTATGTCTTTTTGTTGTTAACTTGTAGAAGTTCTGTATATATTTTAGAAATTAGACCTTATTGGGTCTATTGTTCCTGAAGATTTTTTCCCAGTCTGTAGGTTGTCTTTTTACTCTTTTGATAAAGTCTTTTAATGAACGTAAGTATTTAATTTTTATGAGGTCCCAATTATCTATTTTAACTTTTATAAGGTCCTAATTATCTATTCTGCTTGTGAATTTGTTGATGTGCTTGATAATCCATCATTGAAAAAATTAGTTTCATAGCTTCACCACTTTTTTTTTTTTTCCAGGAACTTTATGGTTTTAGATTTGATGTTTAGGTCCTTGATCCATTTTAAATTAGTTTTTATGTATGGTGTGAGATATGGATCTCACTTCATTATTCTGCTTGTGGAAATTCAATTTTTCCAGCACTATTTGTTGAACAGACTGTTTCCTCTCCTTTGAATGGACTTAGCACCCTTGTTGAAAATTAGTTGACCATACCAAAAAAAAAAAAAACAAACCAAACTGGTTACGTTCGAGTCGATTCTAACTCATAGTGACCCGATAAATGTATGGATTTATTTCTGGACTTTCAATTCTATTCCGTAGGTCTATGTGTCTGTCATTAAGCCACTATCAGGCTGTTTTGATCACTGTAGCTGTGTAATATGTTCTGAAGTCGAGAACTATGACACCTCCTACTTTGTTGTTCTTCAAAATTGCTTTGATATTCAGGGCCTCTTGCCTTTCCATGTAAAGTCGATGAGTAGTTTTTCCATTTCTGTAAAAATTGCTGTTGGAATTTTGATTGAGATTATATTGTGTCTTTTGTTTGCTTTTTTTAAAAAAATATAAGTATTTACTGTAATGGTAAGGAGCCCTGGTGGCACAACGGTTAAGCTCTCTTTTGCTAATTGCTAACCGAAAGGTCGGCGGTTCAAACCCACCGGCCACTCCACGGGAGAAAGACCTGGTGATCTACTCCAATAAAGATTACAGCATAGGAAACCCTATGGGGCAGTTCTACTCTGTCCTATAGGGTTGCTATGTGTCAGAATTGACCTGATGGCGCATAACAATAGCAACAACAGCTGTAATTGTTTAAAATGAATCTTCTTCCCTTTCATGGTTATTCCTATCAGTTCTCCATAATTCTCTTGGTGTTTGTGCTCAGTGTAAAAGGGAGTTGGCTTTTGGAAGCATCTCAAACCTTTGACCTGCAATTTACAACATTTACTTACTGACATAACCGAGAACAAACAAAAGAACATTTTTTAATATCCCCAGAGACTTTTCCCATTAACACCTAATTTTAGATTTTTTCAGTTCCTGCTTTTCACAGTCCTTGGGTGTTGCCAGTTCACACAAAGATTTCAAGTTGCACAAGAAAGCAATGAGAGCATATGGGACCAAAGTTCTGTTTTTCATATTCTCCATTTTAACCTTTATCTTTAAAATTTAATCAGTATAAAAGGAAATACACAATTTTTGTCTCCATTGTACAATGGGAGTGATATCCTCTTCCATTTCCCCAATGTTCCAGATGGCTGCCCAAACTGCAAATTTTAAATCAAGTTGACTCCTAAGAGCAGCTTGGCAAGTATTTTTACCAAGTGGAGGACAAAGGTTTCTAAGATGGAGCCAAAGGGCCAAATGCTACCCCAAGACTATTCATGCATCACAAATTAGGAGTTAAATAGTTTGTGTCAAAGAGCTCTTTGGCACTTCACCTGAGATATAACCCAGAGGGAAAAATTATGTGAGAAAGTATTTAAGTTGCATGAAACATTATGTAGCTGTTAAAGACTGGGATTTGTGCTTCCGAATATCTTCTAACCAGTTAACAAGATATAAAATGAGAAAGAGAAATAGAATTATTAAAGCCCACCTCTTCTCTCCGAGCTGTTTCTCCTGCTCCCTGAAAACAAAAGGAAAACATAACTTGTAAAAATCTTAAAGTGTTTATACATGTTTTGTTTGCTTAAAAAAAAAAATGACTATCAATTGCTCCATCCTGATTATGTATGAAATGGAAGTGGCTAAATACATTTTACTGCCTATCATGTTCACACTTCACAGTTCTGCAATTAATGACATTAAAACAAAACAAAAACACCTCTTATTCTTAAAACTTAGGTGGAAAATATTCCAAATCTAAGGGAAGTTTTACCTTTCAATGATTCTACTGTTTATGAATAATTGAGTCTCATTTTCTGCAAATTTATATTCTTAGTTTAATAAGAATCTTAAGACAGAAATAATTATGGTTTTCCCTAATAATCTGAGGTATTTTCTGTTTATCCAAATATTTTTGTCACTGGCTGTACTCTCTTTTCAGATAGTTTCAGCAATTAGATCACTGCTACATTTAAGAAACTGTGTCGCTTTTCTCCCAGAATATAAAATACATGGACCATATTTTAAATAGTGATGTTTCTTGTTTGTTGAGTTCTACTTGTGTGTAAGGATCTCTGATATGAATTTTGCACACATTATCTCCAACTTAGAGTTTTTTCATGTTTAAAAGGAAATAATAATGGTACCTCTTTAGGTTGTTGTGTGGAATAAGTGATTGGTAAATAAAAGCACTTAGAACAGTACTGGCCATATAGTAATATCTATATGTGTTAAATATTACTTAAAATAGTATTCAATATAATACATTACCTAATGATGTAGTTGATTTTTAACATTTGAAAGTTGATAAATTGAAGCTTAGGAATTTAAGTAACTTTCTCAAATTTCACAAAGGTGGTAAGTACGTTAACTAAAACTATTGCCATCGAGCCGATTCTGACTCATGGTGACCCCATGTGTTAGAGTAGAACTGCTCCATGGGGTTTTCTTGGCTGTAATCTTTATGGAAGTAGACACCTGGGCCTTTCTTCCATGGTGCCACTCAGTGGGTTCAACCCACCAACCTTTAGGTTAGTAGATGAGCACAAACTGTGCCATCCTGTTGTCCCAGGATACCACTCTGCCCAGACCGGACTGTCTTGCCAGGATATACAGCATAAATGTGAGGGAGGCACTGCACCTTGACACATGTGCTCAGTTATGTAGATGCTTATCATGCTTACAGGAGAAGCACTTACCTGAACTGTGCTCTAAAATCTTTCATTCCGTTCTGTATTCACTGGTTGTTACTCCTGTCATGCTTAGTTGAGGATCAAAGAAAAAAAGGAAGCCCCTCAACGAGATGATTGACACAGTGTCTGCATCACCGGGCTCAAACATAGCAATAATGATTGTGAGGATGGTGCAAGACCGGACAACGTTTCATTCTGCTGCACACTGGGTTGCTATGAGTCCGAAGCAACTTGATGGCACTTAACCACAACAACAACACTTCTATTTTAAAGTTCTATTTCTGTTTTTGCTTTGTTGCTTTCTGGCTTTACCTCCTATTTCATTTTTCTTTTCCAAGTTAAAAGAAGAAAGGTTACTTTGGTTTAAAATAAATTCATCCAATTTATCACTGTGCAAACCAGAAAGTTTTTCTTCTACAGCTTCCCTGTGGTCAGTAGGCATGGCACAATTAGTCCAAAAGACTTTCTTAATTAGTTTGCAATTTTTAAGGATGATTAGGAGAGGCTTCATGGGAGAAAGACCTGGTGATCTGCTCCAGTAAAAATTACAGCCTAGAAAACCCTACAGGACAGTTCTGTCGTATGGGTCACTATGAGTCAAAAATCGACTCGATGGCACCTAAAACTACAATAACAACAAGGAATACACCAAGTGACCCTTAAAAGTTTAAGCTAGACTTGTATACTAGTGTTCATTGCAGCACTGTTCACAATAGACAGAAAGTGAACACAACCCAAATGTCCAACAGATGAAATGGATAAACAAAATGTGATATATTTATACAGTAGAATATTACTCAGCCATAAAGAGAAATGAAGTCTTGATACATACTACAGTGTGAATGAATCTTGAAAACATTATGTTGAGTGAATTAAGTCAGTCACAAAATGACAAATATATAATCCTACTTATATGAAATAATGTATAGAGACCAAAGTTTATTAGTGGTTATCACTGGTGGGGGATGGGGAGAAGGGGGAGTTTTTGATTAGAGGTAACTGTTTCTGTTAATGGTGGTGGAATAACTTGGAAACGGATAGTGGTAATAGTTGCACAGCATGGTGAATGTGACCAATGTCACTGAATTGTACATGTAAGAAATTGTGAATTGGAAAATGTTTTGTTATACATATATTTACCACAATAAAACAATTTTTAAAAGTTTAAGCTGACTTGCTTAAGCTACTGTGTGAATTTAGTTTGAAGATGTGAAACACAAAACCATTTTTGGTGAATATGGAGCTTAGAACCAAGAAACATATGACTGTTGTGAGGAGGAAGGCTCATCCTTCCACAAAACGGTAACAGAAAAGTATTTCATTTCAATTCTTGATGCTTCACATGAACTTTGAAAAAGTAAAATCAGACAGAAAGGAGCAATTTTTTTTTTAAGGTAAAAATCCACAAATCATGGAGAAATTTTTGGGAAAACCTCCTTTGAGTATTAATTTTCATCTTTCGTAGTATAGATATGTCTGCTTATCTAGTTAGGAGTTCATTCTGAGTCTTTAATTAGCAACTTGTAAACATGTCATTACTGGGAGAAACATCTAGAGGAAAAGTCACCCTGCTACTTCCTGCCTTTCAATCAGGAATATAGGCAGACCTTCCGTTACTATTCCTGTTTTCTCAGCCTTAGCCTTTATCCTACTGACCCAGAGATAACTTTTCCTAGTAATATGTTTCTCTAACAAGAATAAATCAAAAACAATTTTCTTATGCGAAGACTAAGTTTCTGTGGAAATGGGGGCTACCTAGATTGGCACTTCTCAAGATACTACTCTAAAATTATTACTTTCAATAGTTTCATGCTTTAAATATTGTAAGTAATCTATCAGGACATACTTTTATAATGTTTAACATATCCATAAGTTAATACATCTACATAATATAGTAAAGTTTCTGCTTTTCTACCCTGAGCCACAAATCCTTGAATGAATTAATCAGGTCAGCTTGACTTGGCATGGATAGCTTGAGAATATTTTAAAGAGCCGGAATTATTTACTTAGGGTGACTGAACACTTAGTATAAAATAAGAATGTTATAGAATTAATTTAGGAATAATTTTTATGTATACTAAAAAACTATAGAGTTCAAACTCAACTTTCAGGTTCTTATTTTTCAGTTATTCTATTTATGAGACTCAAAATATTCTTATATACTTAGTAATTTATCTAAATATTTTTTCTATGCATTCCTATCTCTTCTGTCCAGCCAATTCCCACATCCCTAACAAATATTTTTTATATTTTGCTCCATTTACCAGATTTTATGACCTTCAATTCTCCTCTCATGACTCAGAATCCTATGACTTGCGTATGTTTGAGCATGTGATATGTGTGGCTAGGGAGACTGGGATAAATGAGTGTTGATTCCGCCTGGCTGAAATCTCAGATTCAAGTCTCAATGGATACTTTTTGATTGTAAAAAATAATATGGTAGGGAATGATGCTAACTTCCAAAATTTCTCCAGTTCTCCAGAAAATTGTCAATTTATGAGAGATTTTTATTTTCTTTTTCAAATTTTCCACTAGTTTTTTATGTTGGAAATTATTTGTTAATGATGTTTTATTTTTAGTTTTGTTGTCTATTTCTGGTTTACTTTTCTTTATTAATTTTTTATGAAGCCAGTTCCATTCACAGATAGCATGTTCTAGATAGATACCTCTCTGTTAAATATGCAACATACGTTATTAAGATTTATTATCTAAGGGCCTTTTTGAGTTGTTGATATTGGATGCATAGATGAGTGAGGTATGCACTCGGCCCATATAGAGTTTACAATCTAGTAAGCAGAAATCATTACATGTACACTGATAGCTACTAATAAAAAATTAAGGGGGAGTCTAGTAGCCCCAGTGGTGTAAAGATTAAGTGCTCAGCTGCTAACCAAAAGATTCAAATCCACCCAGGGGCTCTGCGGGCAAAAGACTTGGCGATTTGCTCCCATAAAGAATACAGCCTAGAAAACCCTATGGGAAGTTCTGCTGTGTCACATGGGGTTGTTACGAGTTGAAATCAACTCCATGAAACCTACCAACAAGAACAACAGCAGGGACTCCTATGTATCTGACATGGAACTCATATTCAGGATATTCAAAGAATGCATATAAAACAAAAACAACAACAAAATTAAGGGATGGTATGAGAGAGCCACACCCTACCTTCTATGTGAAAAATAAAATAAGGAGAAATAAATTATTTCCAACCTGAGGAGTTGCTTTGACCTTTGAGGAACAAATTGTATTTTTTTTTTATTGTCAAATTTTTAGCATTTTATTATTAAAATTCAGAAAATCAGAAAAAACAATACAAGGAATATACATACTCACCTCTTATATTCAATTATTATTAACATTTTGTCATATTTGCTTCAAAGAGGTTAGATTTTAATGTTGGAAAATTTAGAGTGACATTCCAGTAAAAAGAAACTTTATAAGCAAAGGCACTGGTATGAGGACATTCAGGTGTTGTTTAGGAACAAGAAATTTAGGAGAACAGTGGATAAAAGGGAACCAAGATTATTATATAGCTAGTATCTGGATCACATGAACACCAACCTCAGGAATGTGTGTATATAAAGGGATGATGGGCACAGAAGGAATCTATAACTTATTTTGTGTAAAACACTATGCTACATGCTATTGGATATAAAATATTCCGAACTTTTTCTGTAGATAATAGAGATCTTTATCATCAGAGTTGCTCTTTGAAGAGAATTTCTTGCAGGTTGGGTAGAATGGCTTTTGGGTAAGAAAGAATTAGAGCATGGAGACCAGTTTAGGGGGCTAAAATAGTAGCTACATGACTGCTAGTGAAATAAAGCTATGCAAAAGGCATGCAGAACAAGAAAGTGTGAGTACTTTTTATGTTAACTTTCAACAATGTGGCAATGGACTTGGTATGGATCGCGAGGGGAAAGGAAGAGACAATACGAAGAAGAGTATAAAGCTAATATTTACTAAATACCGTGTGCCAAGAACTATGTTACTTACATTATTTTGTGTAATCTAAGTCAAATTCCATTATTTTTCTATTTTAAAAATAAGGAAACTAAGGCAGAAAGGGGTTAGAAAACTTACCAATAAAAAGAACTTACAAGTCAGTCTTGTTTGATTCCATATTCTCTCCTTTTTCTACATTACTTTCCTGAAATGCAGATTTTGAGTCTTAGTGAAGGAAAAAATTATGATGCTATTAATAAGGACAAGAGGAAAAGTGGCCATGGAGAATGATGATGAGTTTGGACATTGTATCAGAAACTCTGGTTGTCCTTCAGTATCCATTCTTCTCTTTCTCCATAGTAAATTATCTTCCAGTTTTTAACTATCTGGAAAAAAAAATTGTTTTCTAGCTTCTTTTGCAGATGGTGTGGACATGTTAAAATTTCAGACAATGCGGAAATAGATAAAATTTTAAGTGCAGTTTCCAGGGAGTGTCCTTAAACAAAAAAGGCATTCTCTTTTCCACACCTCCTCCCTGATTGGTGGAAGGCAGAGCTCATGGCCAAAGCTTCAGCAACAATACTGGCTCATGAAAGCCATATCAGAGACCAATCCCATAGAAGTAGTTTGGATTCCTGCCACTGTGAAGTGAGAGAGAATAAACTTGTTCAAGTCACAATTATATTGTAAGTTCTGCCACATGAAACATAATCTCATCCTAGCTGATGTAAACATACTGATTTTGATTTCTCATATGTTGCTTCCTCAAATAGTCTTTCTTCCTATTGTCCAATTGTATCATTATGCAGCATTTGAAATTAGAATTATTTATATCTCCATTTCTTTTATTGATTGGGAGTCGATTTGACTTCCAGACAAGTCTTCATTCTGGGAAACTCTCAGCAAGTTTCTTAGGTCTTACCCTTTACCTCTTCCAGGTTTTCTCTTATTCTGGAGCCTACTCAAAACTGGCAGTCTTCCTGAGTCACTTCATAGGTTAGTTGGAGAAGTATTCTCAAGTGTAGTATACTGCTTCCAAAATCTAAATATGCTCACCAACTCTTGTGTCTCTTTTTTTAGAGGTAACTGGTACAAGATGCAATAACTTGTTCTTTACCTTAAATAGGATGACCTGAAAATCAGCACAGTGTTCAATTCCTAAAACCTCCTCTAATGTAACCAACCCCTAAATCTTTGAAGATTTTTCTTTAAATGTCTAATTCAAATGTGTATAATAAGCCATCCAAAGTACTTGCACTTCATGCTCACCAGGTCCAATTAGCATAATGTAATATTCCTTATAAATACTAAACAGAGTGACATTCTCTAGAATATGAAGATATCAAGCTTCCTGTGTACTATATTTGACAGTGACAGAGAAGCAATTTAATTTAATATAGTCTTGGACTATGACTGTGAATGCTTACTTCTGTCTTTTCCACATAAAGGCAGACTGATTTTGATTCTCTTTATGGATGGGAATTGAAAAAAGCATATTCACCAGATCAAAAGATACATATTAAGTGTCAAGTGTTGTAAGTAGCCCTGGTGGTGTAGTGGTTAAGCGCCCAGCTGCTAATCAAAAGGTCTGCAGTTCAAACCCACCAGGCACTTCGTGGGAGAAAGATATGGCAGTCTGCTTCCATAAAGCTTTACAGCCTTGGAAACCTTATGGGATGTTTCTACTCTGTCCTACAGGTTTGCTAGGAGTCGGAAATGACTTGACAGTAGAGGGTTTTTGGCTTTTTTGGTCAAGTGTTGTGTTGATGTCTTCAAATAAAATAGCACATCCAACATAGCCACTGAAATTGGGGCTACTGGTTATGTCTGTTGTAGTCCATCATCAACCATAAAGGTTTTGCTGAAGCTATGCAAATGAACTGAATATCATGGAAACCATTATATTTGTACCTTAAATCTTGGAGCATTAACCTCTGTAACTCTAGCAGTGATGTGCTTTTGTTTCTGAAATTACGGTAATGGGAAGTGTCAGGGTTTTCACTTAGTTCTTTTTATAGTACCATAATGGCTGTTACTCCACAGATCAGGGAACAAACGTAAGTGTTTCGCCGTTTGCAAAGTGTCATCCCAATTAGGCACTTGGGGATTAAGGAAATGACCACAAAATGGATTTCTGGATTTGGGACCTGAATTCTGTCTATTGTCAGGCCCCCATTAGCTCGCACTGTAACTGGGAAGACATGTTTGCTTTTTTTGTCCGTTGATATCAATGTCAAGTTAGATCTTAGGGCACTGAAAAGGTCTGAGTATTCTCCTTTCCCATGTGTACAGTTGTTCTCGTAAATACTTTCAAGTCCTTTAGGGGAAAGTGGTGGAATACTTTATTGTATGTGCTTGCTATGCTCTTGCAGAATCTTCTTCACATACAACCATTTTTGTGACACCTGTCACTAAGTCCAACCCCCACGCTCATGGGGAGGGGAATTAAGTTCCAAGTCTTGAAGTGAGGAATATTAAAGAATTTATGGACAAACCATCACAATGTCTGATGGTACAGACATTGCATTCTTTAATGTGTATTCTATTTATTCTCTTTGTTGCATTATTTCTCTTAGAATTGATGGGAACAACAAAAACAAAATGAATTCCTCAACTCAATTATCCTTATCCTTTTTTGGCTTGATATTACATTTTTTTTTAATGTTTAAGATAGATTATTTCCAGCTGAATCACCAGGTTATTTCAGATGGAAAAAATCTATCCTAAACAAAAATATTGTATTAATTAGGTCAGTGTTTTTTATTCTGGCTGTGGAGGATATTATATTTTATTGTTGTTTTTGTTTTGTGCCAGTATCTCTGGTCTGCATTAAACCTAGTAAACAGAGTCTCCAAGGAGTGGGCCTAGCCATCTGTATTTTTAATAAACCCAACAGCTTATATCTGCTTGTCTGATTTGAGAATTGCTGGAGTTGAATAACTTTATCTTTGTCTTAAAACATAACTTTCAGAGGTCTCTTTTTATTGTATTTTTCTGGTCCATTAATGTTCATAAAATGTACATTGAGATGATAACCTAGGACCTAATAAAATAATATCAGTTTCAATTTAATTAATTACTCATATTTTTAAGTAACTATGATCTCTCTTTCTAGGCCTTTGTGGCCTTCACACAGTAGGATCATCAATTACTGGTGCTGGTTTTATAATGGACTTCTTTCTGAATTCTATTCTTAGAATCTAAATGTATTGGGGAAAAGAGAAAAATCTTACTGAGGATTTGGATTTTACTGACTCTGTGATTTTTATGTTATGGCTGTTTAGACTCAGAAAGACGTATCTCAATTACTCCATATCATTCAGCGCTATTATTATCCTGTTTTTATTTATTTTTTTTTTAATTTTAAGTAATATTTGCAAATATTTAAAAAATAAGATAATACAGAACATCTAAAATGAAAAGGTACAATCCATTTTCCATGTCTGCCTACCCCTAGTCCTGTTTCTATGAAACAACCTCTTTGTCTTAGGCTGGGTTCTCTAGAGAAGCAAAACCAGTAAAGTGTGTAAATATATATAGAGATTCATATCAAGGAAATGGCTCACGCGGTTGTAGAGGCTGGAATGTCCCAAGCTGTGGGTCAGGATAGAGGCTTCTCCTGATTCATGGAGCTGTAGGGGCTGTCGAACCCAAGATTGACAGGTCAGAGAGCAAGGCTCTTGCTCACAGTCTGCGAAGATCAGTGAATCCCAAGATCGGCAGGCAAGACAGCAGGTAAGCTGCTAGCGCAAGTCCCAAGAACTGGAGGTCAAACAGGAGCCAGCTGCAGAATCCAGCATTAGCAAAAAGCCCACAAGCTTTGACAGAATGTCCACTTATATTCGATGCAGGCCACACGCCCAAGGAAAATCCCTTTCAACTGACTGGCTACTCACAGCAGATCCCATTATGGAGGTGATCACAATGTCATACGACTGCCAAACCACTGAGAATCATGGCCCAGCTAAGTTGACACACAACCTTAACCATTACACTCTTTTAACTATTTCTAGTTTTTTCCTCATTGTAGTTATTGCCACATTTATACATACATTTAGCATAATGTAGTGGCTAAATGTGTGGAGTATAGAACCAGATTATTGGGGTCAAACCCTGGCTTCACCACTTATTAGCTGGATGACTTTGGGTTTCACCTTCTGTGCCTCAGTTTCCTCATCTATAAAGTAGAGATGAAAGTATCAACTTTATAAATTATAATACATAAAAGTACCTTAGAATAGTGTTTGCATGTACAACATGTAGAATAAGTGTTACCAAAATCCATTGCCAGCAAGTCGATTCCAACTCGTAGCAACCCTATAGGACAGAGTAGAACTGCTCCATACAGTTTCCAAGGAGCACCTGGTGGATTCAAAATGCCAACCTTTTGGTTAGCAGCCATAGCTCTTAACCACTACACCACCAGGGTTTCCAGAATAAGTATTAGTTATTATTAATACCTCCAAATTTCTAAATACTGTAGATATACCATTGTTTTTTTGAATCAGCAACTTTAAATATTCTCTATTGATGAGATGAAGATTTAACTAACTTAAGCAAGGTTGCCTGGCTGTTCCATAGCAGCTACTTTTGTGCATATTTTAGGTCATGACTTCCTTGTTTCTATTACTTCATTCAGTACTTTTCTATCTACTTACCCTTTTCCAGAAATGTGTTGAAATGTCCTGTACACTGACGGTTTACTCCCATTCTCTTTATTATGTTTATTTACTAAGTATTTTACTATTATTTGAGTGGAGTATTGGATGTAATAAGATACATAATATGAGCTTAGTTTGTCATATTGCAATATTAACCAGAATTTGAATTTTAGAACAATATATAGATACTCTTAGTAAATCTAGAGTGACATAAAAGAAGGGCAAATGATATGCATTTTTATGTGACTAGGGAAGATAGAGAAACCCAAGCAAAATTACTTTTGAAAGTTACCTAAGTTTTCTGATGCTTACCTTTACCATCTGTAAAATGGAATGGTTGAACAAGATGGCTTCTAAATTCCTCCCAACTTTAACAGTCTATCATTATATTGTTTTTCCTTGGAAATCTCTATATTTGAGTGAATAAATCTCAAATCGAGTATCTATTTTTTCTAACACCAACTACGAGGATATAACAAATACACACTTTTCCACTAGCTACCTTGAGCTACTCAGATCTCACAAGTTAAAATGACACTGTCTTTCAGACTGCCACATTGAGCAAGACTTCAGATGCTAGCTGCAAGCTTAGGAGTCCCTGGGGCTCCTCTAATTTCTGACCTGCTGGCTACAAATTTGGGGCTTCCCTCTAAGCTTAGGGGTCCCCAGCTTCTCTTCGTATCTGACCTGCTGGCTTTGTAATTCATCAAGACAACTCAAAGAACTCATGGAAAGCACTATACTTAAGATTTACAGCTTTATTTTAAAAGGCACAAAGCAGGATCAGCAT